ATAAGAGAGCTCCCATATTCAGACCATTAGATTATGCAGTTTCCCTTGCAGGCACTGTAAATCAAAACCAAAAGACACCCTGTTATGTGCTACAAGACAGTTTTGTTGGCCTTTCTTCCCAAACACATTTTGAACACACATGCTTTTTATATGAGTCTCATTCACTTCAGCTTTACTGTCTCAAATACAGATTTAAATTGGGAGGACAGAGAAAAGGAAAAAAAAATAAGTCAGACCTTGAAACCAAGCAGCTATCCACAGAAAAGGAATGTGGCAGCTGGTTAAACAAAACAATTAATGCATCATCACATCAATGTGATTTTCTTCATGTCTAAAGAATTACAAGGTGCTTATCCATTTGAACCAGCCCCGGTGTGGATTTAGGTGAAAACATTGCAGTTATTTTACTTCGGTGTGTTCAGTGCCCATCATTTTGGTGCAAAGAAATCCATTGTGCCTATTAAGGGGTAAATAAGCTGGTCCAAAGAACAGTTCTGTCAGTTACTCTTAGGATCTCCTTGGGTAGCACTCACATTTATGTCTTTGATTCCCCCTTCCTTCCCTTCGTCTTGGAAAGATAAACAACAACGGGGTGTCTCACTACTAATTGAAAGCAATATAATACCACACAGATCAGCTCCATGATGGAATAAAGAAGAAGTGAGTGTGAATCTAAGTATCTTCTCATATCATTGCCTCTACATTGTTTTCAGGAGCACTTTTGTCAGGCAGTGATGAAAGGCTGAGAACAAAGTCAGTAAAATTCCCTTTTACTGCTTAAAAATTCTCAGCTGGTTTGCTATATCAAAACCCTGTCTCTTTAAACAAATCCCACAGTTAAAACACCAAGTTATAATTCAGCAACTAACTCAGAAAATGACAATTTAATCAATCAGAAGAAACCCTTCTGAAAAAGAAAGGGGAAAAAAAAATCGTCAAGCTTTGATGCCATGTGAGTGGTTGAAACTATAAAAAGGTTCAATCATTGTAGAACAAGCCTGCAGCATCAATGTTTATTAAAGTCAGGGGAGCCATTTATTGACCTGGGAAATAGCAAAGCACCAGAAGCACTGCTGGATTGCATTTTTGTACTTAACAAATGGAAGGTGATATTTTCTTTTTCTCTTTTAATTGTGATTCCGTCAAATCCCAATAGTTAAAAGCCTCTCAATTTTTAAAGGAAAGCAAAGAGAAGGACAGTCCACACTGTTCTTCAGTCCTTCTCTTTGCTCTGACTCTTAGCACTGGGATATATTAAATAATTGCAACACAGGATCAAATTTTTAGGCATCTCTGTATGCCAGCAAAATGACAGACAGGTGTGTGCTCCCCCCACCACTTGAGGTGGTGGTAGAAGATAGGGAGCTACCATTATGAAGCTATTTTTTTCTGTAATCAAAAAGGACTTACTGTATTTATTCCCATAAAGGTACCCTGCCACCCAGACAGCCAAAAGCATTGATGATAAATTGTCTTCTCCTAGACTGACAATAGGCATTTTCTCTAACTACACATCTTGGTTGTCCTGGACATTTTGTAATTCTGTTGTGCTACAAGCACTTTGTTGAGGTACACCTTTTCACATTGCACAAATTGTGAACCACATAAGGCTATTAAAAGGAAAGGATCAGCCATGAAGTGGTGAAGTGTGCATATGGATCTGTGTTACCCAAATTACAGGAGTTGGCCTTCTGCTTCATTCTTTCCATATTGTCCCCATCCACAGGAAACCTTGGGGTCAGCAAAGGAACATGGGGCAGGGATTTAAAACACTCTGCATGCGTCTGCTGCCACCTAAACCGGTGCCAAAACTGAAAGGGGGACTTCAAAAGCTAAGAGGATGAGTCAGTGCAGCCTGAGCTGACACACCACACGCTGAAGCTGAGAGCTGTGGCATATCCTCCATGGATTAGGTACAAAGCAGGATGAGCAGCACACGTGGGCCAGCAGGTTATACATGCATGCATCAAAGGGTAATGAATATTCCAACAAATCCCCAGTCACCAAGAGCCATAGCAGTTGTCCATACACTGCATGTATTAGCAGCTCAGAGCTTGGTGGGAGCAAGAGAGATAGAAACCAAGACTTCCACTTGAAACCTGCGCCATCTCTACCACTCTGAGAGTCCCACACTGTTTCCGTAGGGAGCACAGGGTATAAAAGTGCCTTTCTGATTCCACTCAGTCATACATAGCACTTCACACCTTCCTTTCAGGTTTGCAAACAGACCTCTGGCAGCTCTACTTCTCATTTTCTTTTCCTCATCCATAGAGAAAAACACATAATACCCTCACTTAAAACACAGGGAAGGATTTTGACACAAATTAATGATTCGCTGTCACACTATAAGAATTTTTATATTTGAAGGGGGGGGAGGAGGCTTCAGGTATTCTGAGAGCTGTAAAAAGCTGCTTCAGAACTCAAAGACAGCTCATTAAAAATCACATCACCAGATAGGTTGGTGTAAGGTTTGAGACATTTTTCACTAAAATCACAATACTGCAAGAATATGAATAAATAAACAGTTACAGAAAAAGTAACCCACAAGTTCCCTCAAATTAGATCCCATTGGCACGAAATCAGTTCACAGCTGTCACTTCAGTGGCTCCAAGACAGATTATTTCTTAAATAATGTTAATGACAACTTTGATTTGACTTCTGTAATTACTAAAGGAAGAAGGGGCTGCATTTCCTAGGAACAAAAAATCTTTTATCTGCCTGTTTCATGTACAGTCTTTGATGAAATGGAGCTCCTTTCCCCTGAGTTATTTCCCTGAGCACTTTTGTTTTGAAAAAGAAATGGATTTCCAGGTCGAAGGCAAAGCTGCTGTACAGCTATCAGAACTGTGGGAGAGGTGTCTAATTGTCATCTACAATGACCCTCGACTCTTTCCTAAGCAGAGCCTTGCTCTGCCTTAGAAGCGGGCGTATTTATAGAGCCGGATTGTTCTCTGAGTTACCTCCACTATCACCAGTAAATCACACAAAATTTCTCCTGTAATCAGTGGAGTGTCTTCAGATTTACCAGACAGTATAATCTGGTCCAGGAGACAGCTGATTGCTATCTGTAACCACCCCATCCAATTCAAGTGATGGGAGAAGTAATCCAAAAATCTCCTTCAGACCTTTTTTACTGCCAAAATACATCAAATTCTATGGCAGCCTTTTTACAATTTCCACTTTTCTAAATAAACATCACACAGCCTGTACTGCCTTTACTGCAAAACACTTCACCCTGCCTGTATTGTGGTGGGTTGCTAGCTGATGTGCTAACACACAAGACAGTGGCAGCATCTCCATGTGAGTCTGTAGCGTGGTACCAAGACATGGCGTGCAATGGGGCTCAAGCTATGGATCCAGAGCCCTTTCTCGTCAGGGAGCACCAGGAATAATCCTTACGGCGAGCTGAAAGCCCTTTGCACTGTCCCCCTCCCAGTTAGACACTGCATGGCATTGTACATTATTACTCAGCTCCCAAAGATTAAAGAGTTGGTGGTATTGCACTCCTGCACATCAAAAGTATTGGGCAGCTGATACATGCATCCAAAACAAGGCTCTAAGCAGCCTGCTGAAGAAGTGTTGAGCTGGGCTGCCCTGCAGGCAGGACAGGGCAACAGGAACAGCTCTGGCAGAGGCCACCAAGCACAGCCAGGCACTCAATGGCTGAAGAAGTGCTGATGACTGTGCAGAAACGTATTTCGAAGGAATCATTTAAAGTACACTCCTGGACTGTAAATGAACTGCAACTGCTCAGAAAAAGCCCTGAGTGACATTAAAGACCATGCAATTAAACACAGGGCTCTGATCTGCAGTGATCAACAAAAAGCAAATACATTATTAGAATGCATGATAAATAGAAAATAACACAAAAAAGTGTCCGGATTATGGCTGTACTGTGCCATTCGATTAATTAACAGCTTTCCCCTATTGTTTTTTTCACTAAGACTCAAACATGTTCATTCTTTAATGAACATTTGTATTCCCAAAACTGCAAATTTCTTCCCAGCCTTCTTTTGCTCGGAAGGCTTGATAGCTGTTACTGAGAAAGAGAACAGAGAAGGAGCTAACACGATGGAGCCAAATGAAGCAGGAGAGCTCCTGCACTCACACAAAGACTTTCTCACTGTGACCCTGAATTTCAGAGCATCTTCAATTCATTTATGGAGCCTGGAAATGAAGGGACCTTGCCTATATGAAAATCAAATATTCCCATGCAATGCTATGACTTCGCCTTGAAGTGATTGTGGCTCCATGTTTCATTCACATCTGTGATGTGGTGATTTTAACCCGCTGAGCTTAACTGTGTAATAAGGATGCCTGGATGTGGATTAATTTATCCTTTCCCACTATAACCAGGTTTTGCCCTTCATTGTACGTTTTTGTGGACTCTATTGAAGCATAAATCTTCACAGAGTTCTTCAAGCTTTGATCTACATCTTGCAAATGCGAGAACTCTTATGCCTGTATTGTCTTTTGGAGCACACCAGTTCATTAAAGTTTTCCACACTGAACCCTCACTCTTATTGCTCTATCACCTGGTTTATGTGCAGAATGTCAAAACAGGCATCAGAAATCGGATTTATGAGGATATATACAGAAATTGTGGTCCCCGTTTGTGACTGGGAGTCAGCTGGCAATTTCGTAGCAGTATTGCCTCCTCAGCTACCAGAGTCCAGCCTGGAAGCCTAAAGACAGCACTGCCAAGATGTGATTCAAAGATCATGGTTCAGGACTAACAAAGCCTTGAGGCTTTTTGCAGTCTATTTGAATTTATACACTTTATAATTACATTTGACCATTTTGTGATTATTTTGCAAGTGCTCATTTTGAAAATGAAAGCTAAATAAGTCAAGCAGCTTCCAAATACCAATATGAGGTACATTTCACACTCCCTTTTCTTCTGTCTTTGAAATATCATAATATTATGGATGAAACCATAAGCCTGCAGCACTACAGAACGCACAAGCATTGACAAATCTCAGGTTCCTCTACTGATTTACCATTTCATACCGAGTCAGAATTATCTCCTGCTCACAAACTCGAGCGCCCACTCCTCACATAACCGACTCGACAAAAGGAATTCGGGGTGCTTTGACGTTGCTTCCACACACGCCTCCTGCCCCGCCACTCCTCCGCGGCGTGCGCAGAGGCCTGTCACTGCGGCCGGGCACGGAGGGTGGAGCCGAGCCGCCGCCGCCTCCTCCTCCCGCTCCTTTTCCGGTGTGTGAGGCCTCGGCATTACGCGAGCTTGGGGATCCAGCGCGGCCTGGTGACAATGCCTGTCGCAATGACCGGAGAGACGAAGACGAAGCTATCCAGGAACCTGCTGCGCATGAAGGTGAGGCGGAGGGCGGCGGCGGCGGGGCTCCGGCGTCTGGTCCGCGGTGTACAGTGCGGAGAGGGCGGCCGGGCCCGATGTGCGGTCGCTGCTGCGGGGAGCTGACCGGCTCCGTGAGGCGGCAGCAGGGACACAGGGATAGGGCTGGCGGCAGCACCGTCTGCCTAGGCCGCGGCGGTGCCCGGTGCGTGCAGCAGGCCCGAGCCGTGCTGTGAGCGGCGAGGGGAGGCCCGGACCCAGCCCCGGCCCTGGCGTCGGCCATCTTGAACCTGTGTCCCGGCCTGTTTCGTACCTCCCATCGCCACGCTTTAAAGTACATCCCCGGGTATTTTCGCTTGCCCGCTCACTCAGGCCTGCAGTGCAGGCTGCTCCCTTCCAACTTGGCCAATTTCAGAGGGCTGTCGCGTAATTCCGGGCTGCTTAAACGCTGGGCAGAGGTCTCGGTTATAAACTGTATGGTGCTGGAGGGTCTCAGGCAGGAAAGCAACTTCGAGATATCCGTAAAAGCTCTTGCCCTGCAAGAGCCAGCTCCAGGACACCATTTGAGAAACTTTTCATTTCACCCAGCTTATTTAGAGCTTACTGTGAATACAGAAGTTATAAGAATTCTTCCCATACCGTGCACACACGTTGAAATTAAAATATTAATGTTGTTTACCTTGCTTGGGAGGGGTTTTAATCTTGGGGGGAAATAAAAGGTTTATTTTTTCTTACAGTGTTCATTTTTTGACTGTGTATGTTGCTGGCTAATAAAATACCCAGCCTGAATGGCAGTGTTAACCGCCTTTCCCAAGTCGTAAATGCGAGGGCTGTTAGTAACATTGTGATGTGCCTGTTACCCTTGGAATTGTGACTGTGGTGTCAAAACCAGTGTGAAATCAGTCCACACTTACTGGCTAATGGATTCTGCTTCACACTGTGCACCACAACACCTTAATTCAGTAGAGTACATGCTGCTGTGATTGGTGGTTCTTTATTGCTGGAAAACAGCCAGTAAAAATTGAGTTGCCATTAAGTTCTTTTAAAACGTTAATATCCATTAATTTTTTTTATAGCTGAGTATGACAGGGCTTTTGTGGCTTCTTGCTTGTGATGTTTTATTCACCCATTTTTCCCTCCACATATTTATACTGGACTGTGTTTCAGACACTGTCTGGAAAGAGTTCAGCTGACTTCAGTTCAATATTTCACATAAAATATACTCTGCCACAGTAAGATGGTGGAATGTTTACCCCAGTTAACAGATGCTGCTAATGAAAGGCTAAAACTTGTGCACAGAGGGAATGGAACACAGCTTGCCTCACTGTCAAAAGGGAGTAGATGTAGAGCTTAATTAGCCATCAGTGTATGATAGAATAAGAGTTCTGGATTGCAGCATCATTATTTTTTCTTTTTTTTTTTTTTTTTTTTAACACTCTTTTAAAATTAAATTTCCACTCCTCTGCTGTTTGCCAGTTAATTAACCCCCCTGGAGATTTCACAGCCCAGATCTTAGATTTTCTTCTATAAAAGCCTGTGGAGAATCAGCTTGTGGATGTGCTGCCATGACATCTGGAGGTTTACAGTCCAGGCAGTAGTAACCAGCTTTGAAGAGATGAAAAGGTTCGAAAAAGGTCATACACAGATCTTGTATTTAGCACTTCCCTTCTGCAGATCTTCTTGTTTACAAATGCTTTAATTAATCCTTTAGCAGCTGCCTCCGCAGGTGCTGATAAGATGTATTATCACAATTCAGCAGGCTGGTGAAGTGGAATCCAAAGGTGATATGTGGTCAGTGGTAGCCTTGTGAAGACCGTTTGCACTAAGTGCTAGGCTGTGTGTGCTCACTGCTTGATATGAAAAGATGGATCGTGCCTTTAGGTCTTGCACCATTTGATTCAGGTGCCATTGCTTGGGGAAACTTAATCCAAATAACCACTCTGTTGCTGATGTACATACTCTGTAGACCACAATGGGTCTAATTTTTAATCCATCCATGTGTGTTTACATTTTAGATAAATGTGATCACATATTTTTTATCTAGTTATTAATGTACTAATCTTTAGGAACATAATCTTTAAAACGTAATGTGAAACGATTATTTAATTGGGTGCTTGTAACAGAATTTCTTCTGTTGAGTTTTCTGACTGGCTAACCAATTTCCTTGAGCAGTGTGGTTTTCCACATGATAGATTCACTTATTTTCCCTGAGAAGATAGTGTAATTTTAATTGGAAAGCTTTGATGGATTTGAATTGACTCAGAAAACAAAAGTCAATTTTTATTTCATTAAAGATCTCGTACACTGGATGCAAATAGAAATGGAAAATATTTATTTTCTGTTTCACAGTCACAGGAGCTTTGTATTGGCTTTTACCTTTGAGTTTGATTTGGTTTACTGGGGCATTTTGCAAAGACTGAAAAGATGAGTGGGGTATATGTAATACATATATTACAGATCTGTATTGCCATAATATTTCAAACAAGGTCAGCAATACATTCGTTTTTTTTTTTGTGGGAGGGAAGTGTTCTGTGACACCTTCTTGGGATCTGTCCCCAGCCAAGCCTGTTTTGGTTTGGACCTAAACTATGTCCAAGCCTTGTGTTCCCCACTGACACATTACCTATCAGCCTTCAGGCTTATCTAAACACAAAAAATGGTGCTGCGCTAAATGAGAGGGGTGAAATTAGCTGATGTAGAATTCCTCTGCAGTGTTGAACATACAGGTATGCTTTGATACCCGCAAAGCAATTTTTCTGCAGGAGTGCATATAAACTGTACTGGTAGATTTGCCTCTAGCTGGGAATTACATTGGTATAAAGGTACACCTTTGACAGATGCAGTTATTTAGACACTTTCTATAGACCCTAAGGGAGGTCCTGCCTCCTAGGGATGTGAGAATATGGGAGTTATTACCATACGATTCTGGAGATTTCTGTGCTTTTTATCCTATTTGGTTAACACTGGTAATACCTAATTGTCACTCAGTTCAGGCACCTGACTTGAGACAACTGGAAGTAAAAGGGATGTTTCACATAGGTCAGTCATTTTGCACTCACCGATTTTACATAGGTTGTGACAGATGTCCTCTTTTACTTGCAGCTGTGAGAGAGATTGCTGTTCCTATCTGCCTGTTTCCATCCTCTGCCAGTGGTTGTCACTGAGGAAGCAATTTACAGGAATATCCTTGTATTAGGCAAAAATAGCAGTCTTACACTCAACTAAATTACTAATCTCAGCTAATTTGGCACTGTTTCTGCAGTGAGTTAAGGTGCTTACACATAACTGCTTGACTCATACTTTGGTAGGTCATCAATGAGAAGTTAAGAGCTGGTAACATCTTCCTTTAGTACAACTCAATGCAGAAGACTTCATTTCATAGCCTCTGTTTCTTTTTCTACTTCCAAGGGCACATTCCAGCCTTCAGAGCTACAAACACAAGCGAGTTTATTAAATTAAATTGTAGAAAATAAGAGGATGGTTGAAAATACAGATGATTCCAAAAATGGGCAAGCTGGGATAACCTACCTCTGACTCTGAGCTCCAGTGCCATTTGTGTGAGTGATGTTGGTGTCTGATATGCAGCAATAACTAACATCAGTATGTTCTCTCTTAGCAAAGTTAGAGAATTTCAATAGCTTGTAGAATCAAAACTAACCAGGAAAGGTCTGTGGATGACTGTTGACTTCCAGCCGATAGCTGTGATTAGTTGTTACTTACTTTTCCATTACCTCTTTGCCCAAACTTAGACAAAACCCAGGGAAAAATCACAAAAAAACTTTACTTTTTATCAGCTGCTAAATATTATATAGTGGATAATTGTTGTCATGGAATTGTTGGATGTTTGAACATATTCATGATGCAAAAAATTGAAACTGTGTTTTTGTGTCTGTCTTTGTAGTTCATGCAAAAGGGTTTGGATGCACAAACTAAAAAAGAACTAGAAGAAGAAGAAAAGAAGGTCATTAGTGACGAGCACTGGTATCTTGATGTGCCAGTTAAAAAGGCAAAAGAGTAAGCTTGTACCCTTTTGTAGTTCTTATCATTAGATTGTTGTGGAGTAGGAATAGAATATACGTATTTTTTCTATAATAGCAGTATTATTAATAACCAATTAATTGAAGTAAAAATAGTGGCAGACTGGCATTACAGCTTTTTTTATTACCTGTTTTCAGGGACGTTCTCAAGGTTGTCTAGGGAAGTTTGACCTACTTTCATTTCTTGTGTGTGTTGTGTTTTTTCACTTGCACATTCTTCTAGATGCATGTAATTAGTTTCTTTCAGGCAAGGAGCAACTCATTTATTGCTGCTTTTTCCCTTCATTTGCAAACGGAAGTTTGAAACCCCTGTTTTAGTAAATTCAGCTCTAGTCCCACGATTGGGTTCATTCAGAACAGTTCTGTTTTCTTTAGTCCAGCTCACTTTAAATCCTGCTTTGAAATAGAAGAGAGCATGGCAAAAAATAAAGGAAGGCTTAACTAATAAGGAAGAAAATGTCCATTCCTGCTATTTATGAAAGGTGCTTTAAATAGCAAGAGAACTACTTTAAAAATTGCTCAGTTTTTGTCCATTCAGAAGAGGACAAAAATGCCACTGAGGGAGAGCATACCTCATTTTTAAAAAGCTCAGATCCAAGGAACTGCGGTTGAACAAGGGCATTGATAAAATAGGTATTTGAGCTTCAGTTGCAGTAAGGAAGGTTCAAGCTGTACATTGGGAGAATTTTTCTAACAGTAAGGCTATTGAGGCATTGCAGTAGATTGCCATAG